GCTGTCAAAGGCACAAGCTGTCAACACGGGAGTGAAGCACTTGTGTAGGCATGCACATACATGTGTAAGCACATACATAGTATTTACAAAACCGCCGCTGTAAGGGATTTGGTGCTTTTTTTTTTTTTAATTAACTGAAAATGATAACACAAGAGCTTTTCATTTGGCATAAGTTTGGGTTTCATCAGCTGCTGGAAAAGATTCTCTTGGAGAAATGAAATTACAGTGTTTCTGCATGTACTTTCTGTGGATTTCAAAATAAACACAGCTATATGATCATGCTAGTTAATAGACAGATGTAGGTAAAGTTACAGGTCTTGAGACATCTGGAAAGAGGCTGCAGAGCTAGACACACAATCTGGTTAACATATCATATTGGCTAAACAACAGAATGCCCAGTTAAAAAAAAAAAAAAACGAAACCAAAAACAAAACACGTGAAGAACAAGTGAAAAGAACCGGGAAGGGCAGTTGCAAAGGGTGCCTTAGCCTACCTGCCGCACCTGGGTATTGCACTATACACCACATGGCATAAAAGACAGTTCATTATTTGATGCTCCTTCTGCTCATCCACATTTCTCACCATGTCAAGTTTCTTAAACAGAATGATGCATAAGAGCAGGAAACTAAAAATGATGCAGAGGAATACTTCAGAACTGCTTTTGCTCTATGCTCCACTTTAAAAGTCAGCAGTTGCACTGTGAACCAGTTAAACCCCCCCTCAAAGGACAATTTGACAAGATGGTAAGCAACAGCCCAGAGTATAAAACTTATCCTTTCCAATGAAGGCACCGAGAAGCACAGCCCATATTAAATAACAGCGCTGCCAGCCACCACTTTGTCTTTTCTTCTCATATGGAACCTTTACAACCCATGGTCTCTTGAACTTATTGGATTATAAAAAAAGGAAGGGGGGATCTCAGCAGGGCCTTTTTAGGTCCCCAGGAATCTAGAAATTCCTACCTCTTTTCCCCATTTCATGCTCCAAAACACATCAACTTGATACATACTTTTGCTAAGTGCTTAGAAGATTATTTCACAGGTTTCAGGGTGTAGCAAAGAGAACAAAAGGGATTTCACCATTGCTTTGATTTACTAGCTGGCAAGGTCAGTGCAGTATTTAAATGTGATTATTTAATGATATATTAGGTCACTACCATGTTTTTGTAATTATAATTAAACTGGTAGAGTGCCTAAAAGTTTTATAGAGATTTCTTGTTCATTATTTTTTACATTTAAGAAATAATACTCTCAATAATGGATTGAGATTAAGGAGAGATTGAAGTTTTCCAAGGATTCTGATGAATTTGGTTAAGAGGAAAAGAATTTTGGAACTGCAGATAAGAAAAAGGAACAGCTCAGTCATCAAATGCCTCAGACACAAGATGGCAGCTGTACATATGTGAAGATGGAAATAAATTAATTCCTTGGAGGATGCTCAGGCTCACAAGCATTGGTAGATCTGATGTAGCCTGTCTGGAAGAGTCAGGACTAACTGCATACGGGTATCTACTCCACTGAAATTATTCTTCGGGGAACACATTCCTGCAATAATTCCTTCCATCTCCACCTTCAGAGCTATTAAATCTTATTTCCTCCCTTTCACCTTCTCTGCAAGTCAAAATTTTTTGATGTTGCACAGTACGATGACTTGAGAGGTCTCCACTTATACTGATAAACATATCCCTTGTGTGATGGAAAATGTGTCATTCCAAGTGATTGCAAAAGTAGAGACAGGCAAATAAATCAGGCATAAAACCACATCTATCACTATTAAGTGTAAAAAAAAGTCTATTATCAAAGAATAAAGCAGGTTACTATGCTATCAGCACAGTGACTCTTTGATATGAAATTGAGGTTTTCAGCTGGGATCCTGCTTCTGTTATACAAAGCAAAAAAGAGGTTTTACCTACAACAGAGAATAAGCCCAGATTCACCTCAGCTATGTGAGCATCACAAGCCTTCATAACCTGTGGTAACATCCTGCTCTCCATGAAGCCCAAAACGTTCTGAGAGAAAGGATTTTGCAGTAGGTTTCATTAAGTAGACTATGAGAAGATGCTCAAAGGTGAATTTAACAAGAACCTGAAGCTCTGCAAAACAATAACCAAAGCTAATAATATTAGAAACCAAACTGTCAGTAATCTGTTGAGTAACCATGAGTCTTGCTCTGGCTAGACTCACTCAGCAGAGTTACTGTCAGTGTAAGCAAGTAGTAGACAAGCACCCCAGTGGCAGGCACAGAATTTATAGCACCGTCAACATCGTAAGTATCCACTGGCAGGTAAAAAGAACAGTCTCTAATGAAAAAAGCTATTCAAGGAAGCTCGTTTCCTTGATTTGGCATAAATATAGGCGGAAGATTTCTTCACATTTCGAATATCACACACATATGTCATATTAAGCTAATGTTTTGGAGACTTTGCAGGAGTTAACTGTACCACCTCGGCATCAGCCACAGGCAGACTTACAATGTGAACTCCCAGATACAAAGTAATGCAAAGAAAAACACTCAGGAGCAAAATAAGGCACTTACTAAAGTAATTTCTAAATAAGATAGTAAAAATAGGATCAGGCACATCAGGCTGTCTCTTCCATTTCTGAGGCAAAGACTTTAATTTGAAAAATAGGCAAGTAGGAGAACTGAACTGAAATCACTTCGACTACCATATTAAACATGTCATGCAGACAAATGAAATGGGTGGGGAGATGCAACTGATAAGAGCTTAGCTGAACATCAGTGATGGTGGAGATGACACACTTTCAGTGAATAAATTAGCCTCCTACCAAGACGGGCACCTGCTAGGGCCAACTGTGTCTCAGGATGTCTGGTAGCAATATCATTCTCAATGAACTTGCTCCGCTGCCCAGGGGTCCAGCATGTTCTGCACAACACATGGGGGACAGCTGAGTAATCCCATCAAGTAGTCTGCTTGAAGGAAAGTGAAAGAGATTCCTCAGTAAGTTACTGAAGCAGCAGTCAGAGATCGGACTAGTGCCTGCTAGTTCAGAGATGAACTGAAGAGGGAAATCTTTCCTCTGATCCAGTAAATCATTTCAAAGGGCTATTTGTATCTAGATGTCTAACAAACCATAAGGAGTATAAAGGAATAGCTATTTTTTTCCCGAAAAACTACTAATATCCCAAGGATGCACTGCCTCACAATAACTGTTTAACTGTCTCTTGCAGGTACAGAAGTTGACTTCTCACATACTCCACTGATTCAGTAGAGGTAGTAGCAGTGTAAACTTTTCAACAAGGTACAATAATTGGGAGTCTGAATGACTGCGTTCCATATGGTCATTCAGTTTTTTAATCTGCTTTGCCCAGCATGTCTCACATTAAGGACTCAAAACCTGCAAATCTTTCCACTCCACTGCAAGTGATTTGTAAGTAACAGGAATAAAGCCAGACAGAAACATCTTGCTGTTCAAGGCACAACCAAAGCCCCAGGTCATAACAGAAACGTCGAATTCTAATAGAGGTTGTATCAGACGGGAACTTGACAGCTCTGATCCTTCCCTACTTACAGTAGGACTGCACCAGTTAATATAATACCTTCATTCCTTTTAAAGCCCTTGGTTCAAGGAAACCCAAATTCCTGCTCCACAAAGCAGCAGAATATCATTATACACACCAGGGTGTGCATGAGTAAGCATACACACACAGAGGTAAGGACAGTCTGTTACTGTATTCTCTAACCCTTCATTACATATGGGTAGAATATGGCACAATTATCAGCCTCTTGTACCTGTAGTGGTATTGAGATTTCTAGGAAGAAAGCTGTATGCCTGCCTGAACGTGTTGCTCCCCCTTTCCCCAAGCTACTTGACAATACGCGGTTCAGTCATTAGAGTTTACAGGCCTTATTCTTCAGCTTATAGATCTCCAACCTCTGCTACACATCTGTACTGGATACACAGAGGATACGTTCCCACATCAGATGTCTAACTCCAGCCTGCAACTTGATCAACACTGAGTTCCTCCTCTTCTCCCACACCATTACTGAAGTAACACTTCTGTCAAGAGATTCCACTTTCCCTCCCCTTCTTTATCCAGGCTGACCCCACAACACGTTCCAGAAAAGATAACAGCATCATAACCAGGCTCTAATTTCTAAAGCTGATCAATGGAATTTATATTTTTCTTTATAATTCAGATAATCTCTTAAAAAACAAACAAACAAACAAACAACCTCCACAACTTCAGGAAACAAAAATTAAAAACATTAACTGCTCCAGCTGGATGCTGTGTACTGTAGCCTTTTGCATGTATGAACAATTTCTGGCTTAGTTGTTTAAAACCTCTTATCTCTACTCGATTTTTTCACTTGAATTTTCACCAGCTCCGCGTTTCGGGGAGGATGACGCCAGATGCAGCAACATCGCCCTCTGTGCGATGCAGAGAAAACGGCATTTAATGCGGCTGCTCTTCCAGAGCTGCCAGTGTTCAGTTAAATTTAAACAAACATATACAACATTTGCTCGGCAATATTTTGGCATCCAGATTTCCACCGGTAACACAGTTTCAAAAAGATTCTTATTCTTGCTGCACACATCCCACTGCGTTTTACAACTGTTTAACACGAGACTTGTTTTACTTCAGAAAAGTAAATGACAAGTCACTTCAAACTTCTTGAAAGTTTTTGGTTTGTTTCTTTTTCCAAATGTCTCTCTTTAATCACCTCCGCGAGAAAAGCAAATTACAACTCTTACTGGTTTTCTTTCCCCTCACATATAAAAGCACTTGCTGGTTTGCCCTTCCCCACTCCTGCAGCAAAGCGTCAATGTGGAAAGAGGATTTCAAAATAGGAACACAAACACTAACAAATTCTCAAAGTTGTTTTGTTTTTTTTTTTTACACTTTTATTTTGCCTCCATGTTTTCCCAACTGCTCTGCTTAGAAGACAATAAAAAACGGCCTGCAAAAAAAACCATTACAAACTAAGAGACTGAAAAACTGCAGCCCAAGGAGGAGGATGTGACTTTAGTTTGACTTACCAATTTTATCCAGCTGTATATTTTCCTATTTGCTTTTTACAGCAGCTGAGCTCAGCGCTCAGGAACGTCCACCCCGTGTCAGGGAGCCAGGCAGAGCGCTGATCCTCACGCTGGATGTTGCCGAGCGAGTGGAGCTGGGGTGGCTGCTGGGGCTGGGGGGGTGGCGGCGGCTGCTGCGGCTGCTGCAGTGTGCGCTCGCCCGGCCCCAGCTCAAGCTCTGCTTCCCATTCCCCAGCCCCGCTCCAGCGCTGCGGGCTTCGGGAGG